TACACCACGGTCTTCCCCTTGCGCACCAAGGGTGAGGTCCCTGATGTTTTGATCCCTTGGATCCGCGCTGCTCGTCTCCAGCTCCGCGAGGGGTTCCAGTCGGACTTTCTCGTCCTGCGTCTGCACTCTGACAGGGGTGGTGAGTTTTCCTCCGACCTCTTGGCAGCCTACTGTGCGAAGCACGGCATCCGCCAGACGTTCACACTTCCGGCCTCTCCACAGCAGAATGGGGTTGCTGAGCGCCGCATTGGCTTAGTCGTGGAGGTCGCTCGTACCTCCATGATCCATGCGGCTGACTCCATTTCCTGTGGCCGTTTGCAGTACAGTACGCTGCGCATCAGCTCAACCTCTGGCCCCGTGTCTCTGCTCCGGAGACCTCGCCCACACTGCGTTGGACGGGGGAGGTTGGCGATGCGTCGGTGTTCCGGGTCTGGGGATGTCGAGCCTTTGTCCGCGATACGTCCGCGGACAAGCTCTCCTCCCGTGCCGTTCCCTGTGTCTTCCTTGGCTTTGTCCCTGACGCGCCTGGCTGGCAGTTTTACCACCCCACCTAGCGCCGTGTCCTGCCCTCTCAGGACGTCACGTTTGACGAGTCGGTCCCCTTTTACCGTCTCTTCCCCTACCGCACTGCCCCGCTCCCCCCTCCGCCGCTCTTCCTCACGCCAGGTGCTGCTTCGGTAGACCCCCTACCTCCCCAGGGTCCTGCTCCCTCAGGTGTTTCCCAGGTAGACCCGGTCGAGCCTGTCGAGGTAGCTGTCGACTCTGGTCCTGCGCGAGGTACTGTGTCTGGGGGTGCTGAGACTGGGGGTGCTGAGCCTGGGGGTGCTGAGACTGGGGGTGCTGAGCCTGGGGGTGCTGAGACTGGGGGTGCTGAGCCTGGGGGTGCTGAGACTGGGGGTGCTGCGCCTGGGGGTGCTGAGACTGGCGGTGCTGAGCCTGGAAGAGCTGAGACTGACCGTGCTACGCTTGGTGGTGCTCCCTCTTCACAGCAGCTGCGTGAGTGGTACTCTCAGCGTTGCAGCCTCCAGCGTGGGTTTTGCCGGAGTTGGAGCTGGTGGTGCTGCGGGTGCTGTGTCGCGGCCGGAGCCTCCCTCCCCACAGCGGCTGCGTGAGTGGTACGCTCGATGCTGCAGCCTCCGGAGCGGCGCTCCTAGCACTGGGGTGTCGCCCGCTGGAGGCCCTGGTGCTGCTGGAGGTACTGGAGCCTCTGCGCCTGGAGGTGCTCGTACAGGCGGTACTGGAGCTGCTGGGACTGGGGGTTCTGCTGGAGCTGGAGCTGCTGGAGCTGGTGCTACTGGAGGTGCTGCTGGTGCTAGAGCTGCTGGAGGTGCTGCTGGTGCTGCTGGTGCTGGAGTTGGAGCTGGAGGTGCTGGAGCTGCTGGAGCTACCGGTGGAGCTGAGGCCGCTGGGCCTACTGGAGTTGGTGTAGCTGCTGACCCTGGGGTTGGTGCTGCAGGGGCTGGAGCTGGAGGTGCTGACGCTCGTCCTCCTGCAGGTGCTGGAGCCGACGGTGCGGCAGGAGCTGGTACTACTGGGGGTCCTGGAGTTGGCACTACTGGAGCTGCTGGTGGTGCTACGGAAGTTGGAGCTGCTGCTGGGGGTTTTGGGGCTGTCTCTGCTGGTTCTGCAGGCGCTTCACGACCGCGACCGTACTTCCTTCCGCTCCTTCAGCAGGTTCTTGGTCAGCCTCCTCCTCCTTGTCCTGCTCCCTCCTTAGAGTGTCCTCCGCCTGTCCAGTCGCAGGCACAGTTACAGCCTGCCTCGCCACTTCCTAGTCCTTCTCCCTACACTGGTCCAACAGGAGGTCTTACGGAGCGTCGTGAGCCTGAGTCTCGTCCTGTGTCGCCTGAGTCTCGTTCTGCGTCACCTGTTCGTATTGCTCACACTGGTCGTCGTGTCCCGCGTCAGCGTCCTCCTGCTGTCACAGGCACTCACCAGATGACGCTTCGTCCTTCCACTGCTCCACAGCGGGTCTCTCTGCCTTCTCCTCCTGCGTCCTCTCTTCCTGCCCTTGCTGACCCGGAGTCTGACTCTCTTCGTGCTGCTAGTCCTACTGTCACGCGTCTCCTGGCCACTGCTGTCACTGACCCTTCCTTTAAGTAAGCTGCTGCGTCTGCCTTAGTTGCTGAGCTTGTCGACTTTGCTGCTCACTGTCGTCTAGACTACGCTGCCAGTCTTGTTGCTGAGTCTGAGTCTGTCTGTCCTCCGTCCGTCGGGGGTGAGTGTGCTCTTGGCACGGACGTCCTTGAGTGCTTTGCCGCTGCTGTACCTCATCTTGTGTCCATGCTGATTGCACCTGAGGGAGACCCGGATGCACAAGACATCCCGACCCCGCGCTCTTACGCTGAGGCGATCGTGGGTGAGTACTCCTCTCAGTGGCAGTTAGCCATGGACGCAGAGATGGCATCCTGGAAGTCCACTGGCACTTACGTCGACGAGGTTCCCCCTCCTGGGGCGAACATCGTCAATGGCATGTGGATTTTCAGGGTGAAGCGGCCGCCAGGTTCTCCGCCTGTCTTCAAGGCTCGTTACGTTGCTCGAGGCTTCAGTCAGCGAGAGGGAGTAGACTTCTTCCAGACCTTCTCCCCCACCCCGAAGATGACCACTCTTCGGGTGCTACTGCACGTTGCCGCTCAGCGTGACTACGAGCTTCACTCTCTTGACTTCAGCACAGCTTTCTTGCAGGGCAGCCTGCACGAGGAGATCTGGCTGCGCCGCCCTCCTGGCTTCACTGGGTCGTTCCCTCCTAATACCCAATGGAGCCTCCGGCGGCCAGTCTACGGTCTCCGCCAGGCGCCATGTGAGTGGCACGACACACTGAGGACTACACTTGCGTCTCTTGGGTTCGCGCCTTCTACTGCTGACTCGTCGCTGTTTCTGCGCACCGACACTTCGCTGCCGCCGTTCTACATCCTCGTGTACGTCGATGACTTGGTCTTTGCCACTGCTGACACTGAGGCTCTCGCCCTGGTGAAGTCGGAGCTGCAGAAGAGACACGCGTGCACAGACCTGGGTGAACTGCGCAGCTACCTTGGCTTGCAGATCACCCGGGACAGAGCATGCCGCACCATCACACTGACTCAGTCACACATGGTGCAGCAGGTCCTTCAGCGCTTCACCTTCACTTGGTCCTCGGCACAAGCCACTCCTCTGGCTACAGGTCACTCGCTCTCAGCTCCACCTTCGGACGAGTCTGTAGAGCCGAAAGGTGCACATGGATGCTGCTAAGAGGGTACTGCGCTATTTGTGCAGTACATCAGGCATGGGACTCGTGCTTGGAGGGAGGAGCTCAGTTGTCCTCACCGGGCACTCAGACGCTTCTTGGGTTGACGACCAGGCTACTCAGCGGTCGTCACAGGGTTACACCTTCAGCCTTGGCTCTGGTTCAGTTTCTTGGCGTTCTACACGCTCGTTTTCAGTTCTCAGCTCCAGTTGTGAGGCTGAGATCTACGCCACAGCCATGGCTGCACAGGAGTTACGCTGGCTCACCTACCTGCTGACTGACTTGGGAGAGCGGCCTCGTTCTCCTCCAGTGCTGTACGTCGACAACAAGGCTACCATTGCCTTGTGTGAGGAGCACATATAGAAGCACATCGCTCTGCGTTACTTCCTGGCTCGAGAGTTGCAGCAGCATGGTCAGCTTCGTCTGCGTTACGTGGCCACTCGGGCCAACACTGCTGATATATTCACCAAGGCACTTCCGTCTGGTGATCATCAGCGTTTTTGCACTATGCTAGGACTTGTTCCCACTTTTCCTCACTTGCTGTATGCTTTGCTTGTACTGTGATCTATATATATATACCTGCATGCTTGCTTTGCTAGGTAGAGATCCCTGTGATATTTGTGTTGCATATATGCCTCTGCTTGTGAACTGGCCTTGTGGCCCTTTGCTTGTGCTCAGTGTGTGTGGTGATGTTGTGATCCACCCTGAGCTTGCTTTGCCTTTCTTGACTGGTCTTGTGACACCTTGCTCTCTCCCACTTTGCCTATGGGGGTGTGTCAAATGTCGTATCTGCTACAGTTTGTTTAGGCTGTAGTGGGGTAGTTACTATGGGGTTTCCTACTTGTACCCAACTCTTTCCTAGTTCAATCACTCTTGTTCATTCTGACCGTTCACTCCAAAGAGTGTACAGCACAAGTCCTCCCAACTTATGTATTCTACTAAAATGTGCATCCGCCACTACATATATGTTTATTGGAGCAACCTGGATTAACGTTAATTCTAACACTTTCATTGTACCTGTTAGAGTGAGGATCTTGGACAGGATAGGAAGTGCGTTGGTAGAGTTGGTAGCGGAAGTCTTGTAAGAACTCAGATCATAGTGAATGTAAATGACCAAGTTGATTAAAAGATAGAATACAAGGAATATAAATAGTCCTAGCCTAGCCATGTACTCTAAGGGGTACATTCCCTTATTATAACTGTTTTACAGGCATTTCTATAGTGACTCTTGTTGAAATAGTAGGCAGAAGTGATGGCTAGGGTTTTGTTAGGGCCTAGGCTTAGTAGCCTAGGCCAAGGAGGAACTTTAGGGTTGTGCCAAGAAGAAGAGAGAATGAGATGGTTTGACTATGGAAGAGCAGGTACAAATAGAAGAGAACCAGCAAGGAGTGGTGCACCACCATACAGAACACTAGGTAACTACTCTACAGCTAGAACTACATGCACTTATACAGACATATATATAAGATATATTCTGACACACCCCCTAAGTGCATGCAGGAATAGCCATTGAGCAGAACACCCCTGAAGTGGTACACCCTGTTGGGCGCAGCAAAAGTAGAGGCGAAGTGAGGAGGAGGGGAAGGAACTGTGAGAGGAGAGGAGGTTGGAGGCGACGGCTGAAGCTGCAGACACACGGGAGACAGGACGGCAGCCTCCGCTCAACCTCCCCCAACTGTCCCACCCCCCTTTCACACACCCACTGCTGCACCCCTAGTTCCACTACCACGGCACCCCCCTAGCGCCACTCCCCTCGGCTCCCACACATCCACCCCCCTCAGCGGCAGCTGCAGCAATGGGAGACGGAGGAGGAGGAGGAGCAGGGGACGGCTCACACACCCGCCACCCCCATACCCGCCACCCCCATACCCTGGGTGTGCGGTAAGCGAGTTCAGGTGTGCGCGAAGCGAGTTCAGGTGTGCGCGAAGCGAGCACAAGCGTGCGGGAAGCGAACTCGGTTGTGCGGAAAGCGAACTCGGGTGTGCGGGGAGGGGGCCGCAGGGCGACGCGCGGGTCGACGGGGCCGCCGCGAAGGGCGAATGGCAGAGCAGAGCGCACGAGAGCACGGGCAGCAGCAGAGCGCACGAGGGCGCGGGCAGAGCAGAGCGCACGAGGGCGCGGGCAGAGCAGAGCGCACGAGGGCGCGGGCAGCAGAGCGCACGAGGGCGCGGGCAGAGCAGAGCGCACGAGGGCGCGGGCAGCAGCAGAGCGCACGAGGGCGCGGGCAGCAGCAGCGCGCACGAGGGCGCGGGCAGCAGCAGGGCGCACGAGGGCGCGGGCAGCAGCAGGGCGCACGAGCGCGGGCAGCAGCAGGGCGCACGAGGGCGCGGGCAGCAGCAGGGCGCACGAGGGCGCGGGCAGCAGCAGGGCGCACGAGGGCGCGGGCAGCAGCAGGGCGCACGAGGGCGCGGGCAGCAGCAGGGCGCACGAGGGCGCGGGCAGCAGCAGGGCGCACGAGGGCGCGGGCAGCAGCAGGGCGCACGAGGGCGCGGGCAGCAGCAGGGCGCACGAGGGCGCGGGCAGCAGCAGGGCGCACGAGGGCGCGGGCAGCAGCAGGGCGCACGAGGGCGCGGGCAGCAGCAGGGCGCACGAGGGCGCGGGCAGCAGCAGGGCGCACGAGGGCGCGGGCAGCAGCAGGGCGCACGAGGGCGCGGGCAGCAGCAGGGCGCACGAGGGCGCGGGCAGCAGCAGGGCGCACGAGGGCGCGGGCAGCAGCAGGGCGCACGAGGGCGCGGGCAGCAGCAGGGCGCACGAGGGCGCGGGCAGCAGCAGGGCGCACGAGGGCGCGGGCAGCAGCAGGGCGCACGAGGGCGCGGGCAGCAGCAGGGCGCACGAGGGCGCGGGCAGCAGCAGGGCGCACGAGGGCGCGGGCAGCAGCAGGGCGCACGAGGGCGCGGGCAGCAGCAGGGCGCACGAGGGCGCGGGCAGCAGCAGGGCGCACGAGGGCGCGGGCAGCAGCAGGGCGCACGAGTGCGCGGGCAGCAGCAGGGCGCACGAGGGCGCGGGCAGCAGCAGGGCGCACGAGGGCGCGGGCAGCAGCAGGGCGCATGAGGGCGCGGAAACCGCCACGTGCCCCGAGCGCGTGGCGGGCAGAAAACCGCCATGCGCCAGGAGCGCATGGCGGGAAGAAAAAGCGTCGCGCGCCACGGGGCGCGCGACAGACAGGAAAGCAGCGGAAGCTTTAGGTGGGCCCACAGGCCAAGAGCGTAACAGCTCTGATTCCATGTTGAAATAGTAGGCAGAAGTGATGGCTAGGGTTTTGTTAGGGCCTAGGCTTAGTAGCCTAGGCCAAGGAGGAACTTTAGGGTTGTGCCAAGAAGAAGAGAGAATGAGATGGTTTGACTATGGAAGAGCAGGTACAAATAGAAGAGAACCAGCAAGGAGTGGTGCACCACCACAAAGAACACTAGGTAACTACTCTATAGCTAGAACTACATGCACTTATACAGACATATATATAAGATATATTCTGACAACTCTGACTGTTGTACTGCCTTTCTTGTTACCGAGTCGCTGCATGTAACCTGTACGGTTACGCCTGTTGCCATTCCTTGATGGTAAGTCAAGCGTCGGTCCAGATGGTCAACAGTCGCGATAGTTGACTCTTGCGACTGTTGACCTTCCTGCCCTTGTTATGGGCTGATCCGATACTGCGGTAGTTACTGCTTCGACAGAGTCAGGTGCGATACTACTGCACCTACTGGAATGCCAAGTACAATTTCCTTCACACTCCAACAGTACCGTCAGACCCCTGATATACGCGTCCTTTGGGTTATAAAAAAATACGGTTTTTTTGGGGATGCGCTTATAATCGACAATTTCTTTAAGCGCTGGCACTTATATAATGACATGAACCTGTCTATTCTACACCCAACTTTACATATCGTCATTGTGACTTGAATCGAGTCGAAACTATACAGGCCAATGAATGAGAATCTCGCGAAAGTTGGCAGGGAATGATTCCCTGCTAACACAAACAGTAAGAATGAGTCAGTTCGCGCCCCAGACAGCTCATCCTGACTAGACACGCTGGTAGTGAGCCGAGTGAGGGTCAAGTCTTTGAAATTCAAGGGTCAATGGATGCAAAACAGGGCCCGAAATTGGTTTTGAGCCACTCTTGCAAATCAGGCTTCCAGGCCCCCAGTACCTTGACCCCTAGGGTAATATTTTCTGTACATTGATGGCAGCAACCTAAAATATCAGATTCATTGTTTGTGTCAGGGTAAAACTGTTGATACACTGTTTGTAGTGCAAAAACCATAGAGGGCTATAATTATTGATTGCACCATGGTGGCGTATCTCAGCTTGTTAGGGCGTGTAACGTTTTTCACATTTCATCGTCCGGACGGAGGCCCCGTCCGGATATTTGTAGGGTAACTAATTTCGCAGACGCCAGACTTCGCCAGACGCCCTGCGAAGTCGCCACCGTCCGGACCATGTCTGACACTTTTCTGTCAAAAATTGGTCCGGACTACGGTACTTTGCTGACACCGTCCGAACGGCATATCGGACCGTCCGATTTTTATGCGCTGTCATTGGCGCACGATGTGTTGAAAAAAGCACCCAATACAACGCCGCTGATTTTTGGAGGCGAGCCCCTCACGACGCTTTACGATTGCAGTAACGCCTGTTACATGTTTTAACGAAATTCCAAAATTTTTGGATTTCCAAAAAATTCCACATATGTGGTCCGGACGGGCTGTCGTCCGGACCTGAGTCCCAAACGTCCAGACAGAGCTCTGTTCGGACGTTTTGGGGGCTCCGTCTGGACATTTGACGAAAACGGATAAAGTTACACGCCCTTAGATGTTTGGATAGGTGTCGAGAGAGATCGCGAGTTCGAATCTCGCCAATATGTTTCGGCTGAAGGAAAATCCTCCCTGTAGAGGATTCTGTATCAGTGTAATGTGCAGCGCACCCTGATACCGGCAGGGAAACCAAAATTGTTATCAGTGCACTCAAAACCTTAGCCTCTTTTCACTAGGGTAAAAAAATCCATAGGCTGATTTGGCAAGGGTACTGGGAAAAAGCGGCCTACTGTCAGGGCAGAAGGGGTATTTCACCCTGATAAAATAGGCCCTGTTCCATAGGCTGATTTGGCAAGGGTAACTGTGAAAAAGCGGCCTACCATCAGGGCAAGAAGGGTATTGTAACCCGACAAAATAGGCCCTGGTGAATACACTTGCTTGTTGGAGAAAACATAAAAGCATATTTTTTTTCCGCTAAGCCCATACATCACAGAATCACAGCGTGTGGAAGGCGCGGCGGTCAAAGAGATCAGAAAACTCATTGAAAGCCCGTGTGAGCACATGGGATGCATAGATGTGATGGTGTGACCCCATGGCACGCAGACCCAGCTCCCTCTCCAGCCCTACCGGGTCCTTGAGCACATGCGAGACGACATACATGTGCTCCAGGGCTGGGCCCAGTAGCGGTGAGAGTGCGGAGAGCAGCGCCCACTCTGGTAGCGCAACCACAATGACAGCACGGGCCAGCAGAGGGGCTGCTGCAATGCGGGGTAGCGTAGGCAGCACCAGTGGTCTGTGCGGTGGGTGGTCATGCGAGGGCATGCGGGATGGAGCTGCTGTGGCAGTGGCAGCGGCGGCAGGAGCGGTGGTTGACGGGGGTGGAGAGGGTGAGGTGGAGGAGGAAGGGTCATTGCCGAGGTCGAGATAGAGAGAGGCGAGGGCAGGACAGTTGATGGTGATACTCGTGGCAGCAGGGGTGTGAGGGGACGATGGAGATACACACAGAGTCAGCTTCTGTAACCTGGAGGGAGGAAGGAAGGAGAGGGCATGTAAGGAGACTGTTATAATGAGGAGGGAAGAGAAGCATGGAGTATTGATAGAGCGATAGATTGGGGAGAAAGCGTGGTGAAAGGAGCTGAGAATGAAGGCAAGGAAAGCGTGGTGAAAGGGATGGTGGCATAAGGGGGAGTTGGTACTGTGGTGTGCATGTGAGACAGGAGGGCAGCAGTGACCTTGGGCAGGCAACAGTGATAGACGTGGCAGCCACTTCCCACAGCAGCAGCTTCTGTAGACTCGCCCACTCCGGCCCAAATACCACCGCCGACCCACACTCCCCTCCTCCACCGTCCCTCCCTCCCCTGCCGCCCCCGTTCCCCCTAGCTCCATCCCCCCCACCACCACTGCCAAACATCCCGTCGCGCTCCCCACTCACTACCCCCCGGCCCCACAGCCTGCCCGGCCCTGCCCTGATGCTTGCTGCACTGCCAGTGCGTGGGAACTCCCCTCCCGGGGCAGCTCTGGTGGGCAACCCCCAGCACTTGGAGATGTCCACCTCTCTCACCGCCGCACACGCTGCTCCAAAACTGAACGATGGTAGGCATGCTGTGAGCGACGGGGGAGCGCCGGCCGGCGGTTGGGCTGAGGAGGACGGAGTCGGTGGCAAGGAAAAGGGTGCAGGTGCTGCTGAGAAGGTGGAGAAGGTACTGCGTCGAGCGGAGGTGGGAAGGGAGGATGAGGGAGGGATGAAGGGAGAGCGCGCGGAGGAGGAAGGGCGGGCAGGGGAGGAGAGGGGGGTGCCGCAAAGCATGGAGAGGTGTGCGGGGGAGAGGCGTGTGTTGGCGTGGAGCATGGGCGTGCAGATGCGGCGGTGGCTGTTGGCCTGTACCCACTTGAAGCGCTGCAGCTGCGGGCAGTCCACTGTGAACGTGTGTGGCTGTGTGCACAAGCAGCATGGACACACAGCACCTCCACCAGTACATGCAGCAGCAATGGCAGCAGAAGCAGCAGGAGCAGCAGTTGCGGTGGCACCAGCAGAAGCAGCAGCAGCAGCAGCGGCAGGTTTACTGTCCTTCACCCCATGCCCACCACCATCCCTGCGCTCCTCCACCTTGCTCTCTCCTCCAACGCTCTCGTCCCAACCGCTCGCCCCCCCACCTTTCCTTCCCTCCCCACCATGCACCCTCCCCCCACCCCCTGCCCCATCTCCCACGCCCCTATCGCCATGCACAAGCAGCAAGCTCCTGAGGGAGGGGCACTGCACTCGCACGTCCCCCAGTCGCCCCACACACAGCACCACCTCAGCATGCTTCAGCAGCGGGCAGCACAGATGAACGTCCACACACACTCGCGCACCCTCATGCTCTCCCCCACCACTGCCCCCACCACTGCCCTCACCAATGCCCCCACGGCCACTTGCATCCCTGCACTCACCATTCCCCAGGCCATGCTCGCACCCACGACCACCACCACCCACTGTCCCCACACCCCCCTCTTCACCTGTCACATCCACACCTCCCCGTACCCCCAACACCACTGCCCCTCCCCCCGTGCCTCTACTCCCAGCTCCTACTCCTTCCCCTTCTCCGTCTCCCCTCCCTTCCCTTGGCCTCTCCCCTCCAATGTGCCTTCCAGAATTGTAGGCAGCACCACCAGCAGCAGCGGCACTGTGGGTGACATGCGTGACGGCACGAGTGAATTGCTCACCTACGCGCCCATACATGCCTGCTAGCTGACTCGATCGCCCCCACATCAACCCCCCTGCCTCATGCCCCACGCCCGCCCCTACCACATCATCCCTCCCAGGTGCTGCTGCCGCTGCTGCTGCTGCTGCTGCTTGTTGCGTTCCCCGTGCACCTGTGTGCTCTGCCTCCTCTGCCCTAACTCCCTGCCATGACACCCCCCTGTCCCTCACTCTCTCCCTCTCATCCCACTCCCGCACCCCTCCACTATCCCCACCACCACCCTCCACTCCCTCACCCCGCCTCTCCCCTCCATCCACCACCCGATGCCTTGCCACACCAATCTCATCCACTCGCCTCTGCCCCCACTCTCCCCCGCGCTCTGCACGCCCTGTAGCGTCCCTGCCACCCGTTCCTGCATGTGAGCTCACAGCACTGCTCCCCCCTGTCAGCCCTCCTTCATCCACCCATGCCACTCGCCTCCTCTGCCCTCGGCGAAGACCGGACACCCACGCCACACTTGCTGCTGCCGCCACACTTGCTGCTGCTACCGCACTGCCCGCTTGCCGTTCTGCCACCACTGCCACCGCCCCATCACCCCCTCCCACTGCGCTCCTTTCCAACGCCTCCTCTGCCCCTCTCCCCTCACCTGCCCCTCTCCCCTCACCTGCCCCTCGCCCCTCACCTGTCCCCCTCGTGTCACGTGCTCCTCCCTGCCTGGAATCTAAAAGGCCACCCGAAGCATGCTCACCACTCGCACGCCCTGATCCCACCTGCAAGCCCCCACCCATGCCACCACTCTCCGGCGCCCCCTCCCCCACACCACCCACCCCATCGCCTGCTGCACCACTCTGCACCGCCTCTCCCACCCCGCCTGCCTCCCGCCCTCCCTCGCTCACTCTTCTCCTTTCCTGATTCTCCTCAAGAACCCCCTCCTCTCCGCTCAACCAACGTTCCAACGCCCCATCCTCGCTCACGTCGCGCCCCACCCTCTCCCCTCCAGCCGCGCTCTCCCCACGCACCACACTCACCACCCTGTCTTCTCTCTCCCTAAACGACCGCTCTCCCACGCTCTCCCTCACGAGCGCCCTACCCAGCGGAGCATCAGGCACGCGCCCATGCCTAATGGTGCGCGAACGGGCCATCCCCACCGCCACACCAGGCCACAGCGCTGCCGAAGCAAACCGCACACCACCACCCCCCCCTGCAGAAACACCCAGGCCTAGCCCGGTGCGCGGTGGGAAGCAGGAGGAAGGGGGGGCGATGGGCGAGGGCGGTGGCACGGGGTGGCCTGAATGTGCTCCGAAGGCAGAGTCGAGGAGGGTGAGGGAGAGGTGCTCCAGGCGCTCAAACGCCGCCCCCACGTGGACGGCAGCGCACACGCAGCACGGCAGGGCGGGGTCATGGGAGGCGTGGGGGCCAGGACGGGTTGTGGTGGGTGGGGAGGTGGGAAATTCAGGGGGAATGGTGGGTGAAGAAAGTGATACAGGACGCGTTGGCTGGGAAGTTGGGGTGATGCGAGGAGACGAGCCATGCGTGCGCCTGTCCACGTGCTCTGCAGCACCATGCAAGTCAATGTTCTCGCCACGTGGACCAATATCCTCCACTTTCCCGCCCTCCTCCTCACCACTGCGCACACCAGCCGTGCCTCCTGTCACCTGCCTCCCCTCCCCACTACCATCAACTGTGTCAACGCCCCTTGGACCATCAGACCCGCCCTCTTTTGCCACCCCTGTTGCTGTCTTCCCTCGCCTGCTCCTCTGCTCAACTGTCTCACCGAACGGCCCCTCACGAGCCCCATGACTCTCTCTCGGCCTCTTCCCCCACCGCCCCGCACCAGCACATGCCTGGCTCAACAACGGCTCACACACACCTGCTGCGCCGCCATCAACCCTCTCTATACCCACGTCCGTCACACCTCCACCGCTGCTCCTGTTGCTGCCGCCGACAACCTGCCCGGCTGCACTGGCCCCTCGCACACGCCAGTCAACCAGGGGACCCACAGCCCGGAGGACTCTGAGCTTGGGGCAGGCAGCAGCAATGGAGCGGAGGGCAGGCAGGGGGAGGACGCCGAGGTCAAGAAGATCCAATGCAGGACACTCGATGCGGCAGTAGCTCACACGCCTGCTGCTCTGCTTCTCACGTGCAGGCATGTCTGGGTGCGCCCAGGTGCTGCTGCCGCCAGCAGCAGCCGCAGCATGAGTGGATTGCGCATTGACGAATGGGAATGAGGGAGACTCCATGCCACAGGCAACACCCGAGGGGGAGAATGGTTGCAGCAGCACCTCATGCCTGTTACTGCTGTTACTGCTGCTGCTGTCAGGTGCGGACCCGCACACGAGGGTGACGAGGCGGGGGCAGCACACATCCACCACGGAGATGGGCGGCAGCGGGCGGTCCTGCAGGCTGGCGAGCGCATGTGCCACCTTGAGCGTGCGCAGGGCCTTGAACTCCCGCCCCACGCGCAGCACCCCCCCGGCTACATAGTCCACACTCAGCTGCTCCAGCCGCGGACACGTGCCTCCCAGGCTGGCGAGGTCTGCCACGACAAACGGCAGCTCGAGTTTCACTATCTCTGGGCAGCGCAGGGCGAATCTCACCGGCTGGTCCCACTCGGCTGGGCGCGCGCGGAAGTTGAGTTGCGTGAGGCAGGGAGCAGTGGCCTCTACCAGGCACGGCGCGGACCACGTGCAGTAGACCGTGAGGGAGGTGAGCCGCGCGCAGTGCACCTGCAGTGTGCGGCACACGCCGAGACCGGATATGGACGCTCGCTCCAGCTGTGCAAACTCCTCCCCTAGCACCACGTGGTGGGCTTTCGGGCAGCACACCTCCAGGCTGCGCAGGCTTGGGCACCCGCGCCCGATGCTGTCGAGAGGCCCAGGGTCGATCCCCCCGAGGGCTAGTGAGCGCAGCGAGGGGCAGTGGAAGCGGCAGAGGACAGCGTCGAGACCAAAGCTGAGCACGCGGAAATCGTGCAGCAGAGGGCAGTCTACCGAGAGCTTGTCTGTGTGTGATACCCCCAGGGCGACTGTCGCCTGGTGCAGGCGCGGGCACGCGAGTGAGATCTCCCGTGCACCGTAATTCTCCCCAAGCCCCCCCAGGAAGAGCTCCCGCAGGTGCTCCCAGGCCGCGCCTAAGTGGACCATGGCGGGCGGGTGGCGCACTCGTAGAATGCGGAGGAGAGGGGATGAGGCCGCGAGGGCGTGCAGGGAGGGCGCGGAGATGAGAAAGTCGATGTCTAGGTCTGTGAGGAGCGGGCAGGCGAGGGTGAGGGTGCGGGAGGGCGGCGGGGAGAAGGCGTGCACGTCCCCGCGGTAGAGCTTGATGCGGCGCACGCGGGGGAGGGTGAGCGCCATGGTGAGCGGCAGGCGGAAGCTCTCCAGCTCCACCTCCTGTAGCTGTGACCTGCGCATGCGAGGGGACACGGGGGAGTCGGGGTGAGGTGAGGTCGGAAAGGGAATCTGCCATCCATGCACACAGACACAATGAGCACATGAATCACGGGAAGTGTAGGAGCAAAAATATGCCGAGCATAAAGCACCACAACCACTTTCCTATCCCATGCATCCCATCCTATCCCATGTATCCCATCCTATCCCATGCATCCCATCCTATCCCATGTATCCCATCCTATCCCATGCATCCCATCCTATCCCATGTATCCCATCCTATCCCATGCATCCCATCCTATCCCATGCATCCCATCCTATCCCATGCATCCCATCCTATCCCATGCATCCCATCCTATCCCATGCATCCCATCCTATCCCATGCATCCCATCCTATCCCATGTATCCCATCCTATCCCATGCATCCCATCCTATCCCATGCATCCCATCCTATCCCATGCATCCCATCCTATCCCATGCATCCCATCCTATCCCATGCATCCCATCCTATCCCATGCATCCCATCCTATCCCATGTATCCCATCCTATCCCATGCATCCCATCCTATCCCATGTATCCCATCCTATCCCATGCATCCCATCCTATCCCATGCATCCCATCCTATCCCATGCATCCCATCCTATCCCATGCATCCCATCCTATCCATGTATCCCATCCTATCCCATGCATCCCATCCTATCCCATGTATCCCATCCTATCCCATGCATCCCATCCTATCCCATGCATCCCATCCTATCCCATGCATCCCATCCTATCCCATGCATCCCATCCTATCCCATGCATCCCATCCTATCCCATGCATCCCATCCTATCCCATGCATCCCATCCTATCCCATGTATCCCATCCTATCCCATGCATCCCATCCTATCCCATGCATCCCATCCTATCCCATGCATCCCATCCTATCCCATGCATCCCATCCTATCCCATGCATCCCATCCTATCCCATGTATCCCATCCTATCCCATGCATCCCATCCTATCCCATGCATCCCATCCTATCCCATGTATCCCATCCTATCCCATGCATCCCATCCTATCCCATGCATCCCATCCTATCCCATGCATCCCATCCTATCCCATGCATCCCATCCTATCCCATGCATCCCATCCTATCCCATGCATCCCATCCTATCCCATGCATCCCATCCTATCCCATGTATCCCATCCTATCCCATGCATCCCATCCTATCCCATGCATCCCATCCTATCCCATGCATCCCATCCTATCCCATGCATCCCATCCTATCCCATGCATCCCATCCTATCCCATGCATCCCATCCTATCCCATGCATCCCATCCTATCCCATGTATCCCATCCTATCCCATGCATCCCATCCTATCCCATGCATCCCATCCTATCCCATGCATCCCATCCTATCCCATGCATCCCATCCTATCCCATGCATCCCATCCTATCCCATGCATCCCATCCTATCCCATGCATCCCATCCTATCCCATGCATCCCATCCTATCCCATGCATCCCATCCTATCCCATGCATCCCATCCTATCCCATGCATCCCATCCTATCCCATGCATCCCATCCTATCCCATGTATCCCATCCTATCCCATGCATCCCATCCTATCCCATGCATCCCATCCTATCCCATGCATCCCATCCTATCCCATGCATCCCATCCTATCCCATGCATCCCATCCTATCCCATTCCACGCCACGCCAGCTGGCCACCCAAGGCACGTACTCAGCAGGGGCGAGCACCTCAGTGGCGCCACCATGGTCAGCCAGGGATCCGTCATCCCCCGGCAGCGCATTCAGCTGTGTGGCCATGCGCAGGTGCGTGAGCTTGGGGAACACACGCACACAGCGCTCCAGCACGCGCACCGCCGTGACCAGCTCAAACACCAGCGTCACATCCAGCCGCTGCAGCTGCGCATGCCCACCTGCCAGCCCTGCGGCTAGAAGGCCTGGAAGGCGCAGGGATTGCAGGCAGGGGCAGCGCGCGAGTAGACGCTCCACTGCGCTGGTCATGATGCCTGCGCCGTATAGGACTGACGTGGGACCCCGCTCCACCAGCCGCACACGCACGTCACCCCCTGCTGCTGCTGCTGCTGCTGCTGCTGCTGCTGCTGCGGTTGCGGCTGCGGCTGCGGCTGCGACTGGGGCGTCTATGTCGTCTTCTGCAGAGGCAGCAGCAGCGGCAGCAGCCACGACTGCTGCTGCCATGGCATCACGTGCTTCTTCCTCTCCCTCGTGCTCCGGCTGCTGCTCCCCTGCTCCATTCCCATCCTCCCACTCCACCTCTTGTGCTTCGGTCAACCTTTCCCCCTCGCCTGTCCTCGCTTCGCTCGCGTCCCTGTCCTCTTCCCCTCTTGCCTGCCCTTCTTGTGACCTTGCCTCATCCCTCTCACCCTCCTCCCTCTCATCAACCGCTCCTTGCGCCTCTGCTGCTCCATCTCTCATCTCATCATGGCCGTCCGCAGCAGTGGGGTTGGCAACAGGGCCTGCAGGAGCAGGGGCAGCAACGGGGGCAGCAGCCTGGGCAGCAACGGGGGCAGCAGCGGGGTTGGCAGAAGGGAGAGACACAGGAGCGGCAGTGTCGCCCTCATGTGCACTCCCCCTCCCAACCACACACGGCCTCTCACCCTCCCCACGTCCCCCTCGCCCCTCTAGCCCCTCACTTTCCTCCCATGCCCTCTCCACACCACCACCTCCCACGCCTGAACCAACAACAGGCGCACTAACAGTAGGAGAGAGTTCTGATGCAGGCCTGGCAGGCAGGGGATGCGGCAGCACCAGGTGGGCGCCCTGCACGTGCTGCAAGGAACCCTCGCCTTGCTCACCCACTTGCGCACCCTGCGTGTTCTCTCTGTCCGCCCCCACCACTCCCTCACTGTCCCCTCCGCTCCACCATCCACCCTGCACCCCTTCTGCCTCCCCTTCACCCTCCTGTGCTGCCGCGGCAGCGGCTGCAGCAATGGCAGGGCGGTCAGCACTGGTGTGTGCATGCAGGTGCCCTCGCACCACTGCCCTCACCACGTCCTGTAGCCGCACCCCCACCGCACTCACCCCTTCCTCACCATCCTCCCCACTCTCTCTTCTCTCACTCCCCCTTCCCTCCCTCCCACTCTCAAACTCACACTTAAGCTCGCCTTCTCGCTCGGTCTGCTCACTCCTCCTCCCTCCCTCCCAGCCCACTCCCAGACCGCACCCTACTCGACCGCTTCCCACCCCCCCTTCCCCTGCTCCTACATTCGCAAGACCAGTGTACCCCTCGCCCTGCCCCCCCTGCTCCCCCTGCCCCCCCTGCTCCCCCTGCCCCCCCTGCTCCCCCTGCACCCCCTGCCCCCCCTGCTCCCCCTGCGACCCATGGCCCCCCTGCTCCCCTTGCTCCCCCTGTTCCCCCTGATCCTCCTGCTCCGCCTGCTGTACCCGCTCCTGACACCTCGCCATAGCTGCGCCCTCCAACCCTGCATGCGCCCTCTCTCCTTGCACCCTTGGCTGCTGCATCGCACCATCCGCCCCATCCGCTTCTCCCTCCCCATCCCCATCGCCAAGTGACCCCGGACTAGAAGGGGCCGAGATACCCTCCTCTTCGTCCCGCCCCCGCCCTGCCTCATCATCCCCCTCAGCATCCTCATCCGCACCCAAACCCTCCCCTTCCACCCTCTCACTCTCCTGCTCCAACGCCACCCCGCCTTCCTCCCTCTCATCGCCCTCCCCACCCTCCCTACCACTCAAACCAGAGTCCCCACCATCATCACAATTACCAACACCAAAAGCACCATCCCCATCCCCATCCCCATCCCCATCCCCATCCCCATCCCCATCCCCATCCCCATCCCCATCCCCATCCCCACCCATATCCCCATCACCATCTCCATTCCCAACCCCACCCCCCTCCCCATCCCCATCATCCTCATCATCATCATCCCACAACCGTGCAGGACCCGCCCTCACCTCTTCCTCCTCCTCCCCAACCACCAAACCCGCTCTCCCTCTCATAACCCATCCCCCTCCCCACCCCCCCACTCTCCCCCCATCCGCATCCGCCTCCCCCGCATTCCCCCATCCCCTGCCCCTCACCCTTATCCCCAAGCCTCCAATCCCCCCTCCCCCACCTGGAAGCGTGGCTCCCAGCAGCAGCGCGCGGGCGTGCGCACCTCTGAGCCCCGCAAGCAGCTCCTCCTTTTGCAGGCAGCTCCACGTCACATGCAGGGTGCGCAGGCGCGGGCACGACCCCGGCAGCGCTTGCAACACAGCCATGGTAGAGAGGCTGTGGCGCCGCACGTGCACGACGCCCAGTGTGAGCGACGTGAGGGACGGGCTGAGGAACATGCCCACGCTCTTCACCTGCCGGCAGGGTAGGTTGGTCCACGACAGCTCCGTGCCCCCCCACTCGTACGCGCCTCTGGCTGCTCCTTCCTGGGCCCCTCCCTGCTCTGTTGGTTCCCTGCGTGCCTGTGAGGGGGATGAGGGAGCTGCTGCTGCTCCTGCTCCCTCTGCTGCTCCTGCCGCTCCTGCTGCTGCTCCTGCTCCCTCTGCTGCTCCTGCTCCCTCTGCTGCTCCTGCTCCCTCTGCTGCTCCTGCTCCCTCTGCTGCTGCTCCTGCTCCCTCTGCTGCTGCTCCTGCTCCCTCTGCTGCTGCTCCTGCTCCCTCTGCTGCTCCTGCTCCCTCTGCTGCTCCTGCTCCCTCTGCTGCTCCTGCTCCCTCTGCTGCTCCTGCTCCCTCTGCTGCTGCTCCTGCTCCCTCTGCTGCTCCTGCTCCCTCTGCTGCTGCTCCTGCTCCCTCTGCTGCTGCTCCTGCTCCCTCTGCTGCTGCTCCTGCTCCCTCTGCTGCTGCTCCTGCTCCCTCTGCTGCTGCTCCTGCTCCCTCTGCTGCTGCTCCTGCTCCCTCTGCTGCTCCTGCTCCCTCTGCTGCTCCTGCTCCCTCTGCTGCTGCTCCTGCTCCCTCTGCTGCTGCTCCTGCTCCCTCTGCTGCTCCTGCCGCTCCTGCTGCTGCTGAGTCAGCCCCATTACTTCTCACCGCGCGTTCCTCACCCGCCACTCCGCCTCGCAAATTCCCAGAGCCTCCCCCCACACTCACACCCTCTCTGCCAGCAGCACCGCCACTGCCAAATCTGCTACCACTACTGCTGCTATGCACACGGGCACCACTAGTCCCACCAGCAGTACTAGCAGCGGCAACACCAGCAGCGGTACCAGCAGCAGCGGAGGAGCGTGGGAAGCCGTGAGCGCGCATGGCGATGATGTCAGCAGCAGCATCACGCTCGTTGTCAGGGCTCACCAGGCGCACCACACTCGCCGTGCCCAGGATGCCCGGCAGCACTCGCAGCAGCCGCGCCACCTCTATCACTCTGTCGCCCGCGTTGTCTATCACAGGCACCTGCGCGCACACAGGGGGAGGGGGGTGAGGGGGGTGATGGGGAAGACGGTAAGACGGGGAGAGGGGGAGAGGGAGGGGAAGAGGGAGGGGGAAGAGGGGGAGAGGTGGAGAGGTGGAGAGGGGGAAGATCGGAGAGAGGCGGTTAAGCAGCGCATGCAGGGGCACAACACACCAGGATTATGGAACAATGACCAACAGCGAGCAGCGAGCAGCGAGAGCAGAGAAGCAAGCGCGAGGGCACGAGCGGTGCATGTGTGTTAAGGCACACGCGTGGTGGCGCCGCGCACACGCAGCCCGCCCACCCGCGCGCGCACCTGGTGGCAGAGGCGCTTGAAGCGGCGGCACGTGAGAGCGGCGCGCGTGAGGTCCAGCGCGCCGAGGCGCGACAGCACGTCCACCAGCTGGCGGCCCGCGGGGAAGGGTGGGGGGAAGAGAGGGGGAAACGGGGGGCGCGCGGGGGGTGGGGGGCGGTGAGGAGGGCGGAACGAACGAACACGGGCGAGTTGGGCGAGTGGGAACGGCGGGCATCGGGGGGCGTGGGCGGACATGCGCAGCGGCGCATGCATGCGTGCTTCGTTCCAAGTCGACCGGCGCGCACAACTGCTGCGAACGACTCTTACGCCAAGCGAACACAACTAAGGTAGGGAGGGTGACTAGGGAGGGCGATTAGGGAGGGCGACTAAGGAGGACGAGTGCATGCGACGGCTACGGCACCACCCCGTGCGCACTCGCGGGTGCATCTGCATCCCCGCGACCCCAGTGCCGAGCCTTGCCTGCTCATCCGCCAGGCGGTCGCAGTGGTTGCGCCCATCGCCGGCCCCCCACCGCATGCGCACCGCCCGACACAACCGACGCCACAGCGCGCCCGCGTTCTCCTCCTCCTCTTCCTCCTCCCCGCCCTCCCTTTCTTCTTCCTCGTCCCCCTCCTCGTCCCCCTCCTCGTCCCCCTCATCGTCCCCCTCATCCTCCTCCTCATCATCCTCCTCATCCTTCTCCCCCTCCTCGTCCCCCTCTCCGTCCTCCTCCCGCTCCCCTTCCCCCTCATCCTCCACCTCCTGCTGCTGTCGCTCCTCGTCCGTCATCCGCACAACGTCCACGGAGCTGCTCGCGGCACCCATCGCGATATCCGCCTAACCGCTCTCCACCCAACGCCCAAGAACGTTCCTGTGGGATCGGATCGGCGCGCAACCACCTACCGCGATTCAACAGCCGCTCGCGCGGCGAAGGCTAATGAGCGAGCACGGAGGGATGTGGCGCAAAAGGCGGCGCGCCTCATGGGGGAGGGAGTGTGGTAATGGTGTCGCGCAGAGGAGTTACACATGTGTTCCCTGTCCAGTCGAGTGAGGTCAGTCGCTCCCTGAAACGAGGGTTTCCTAACTGCGGCATGTGTTCCCCTACAGGGGTATTCAAACTTACAACGTGGAGTATCCGAATTTCCAATAGAACTGGACTTTGATTACGGTTGAAATCGGTTAAAGCGACGGTGCACATTTGCCACCCAAAACCCAGAACCCTGGCGAACTGTTACTGCGGATGGAAAGTGTCCGCACGAAATCCTGGTTTTCGCCAGCCAGCACTTTCGCGCTGGCAAGCCTGGTTCAAAAAAAAAACTTCTGAACCCAACACTGCCAAAAGTTGCCCGTCGCTTTAAGTGTAGCTCGAAGTTGCCCTAAGTTGCCCGAAGTTGCCCTAAGTTGCCCGAAGTTGCCCTAAGTTGCCCGAAGTTGCCCTAAGTTGCCCGAAGTTGCCCTAAGTTGCCCGAAGTTGCCCTAAGTTGCCCTAAGTTGCCCTAAGTTGCCCTATTTTTTAGGATGATCCACTCATTTATCATTTATCCATTGTTGGAATAACCATAAGTTTATACTAGCATTCTCGAAGGTATCACTATAGCACACTATCTCATACACAGAATGTGCACCAGCTACTATCTCTCTGATTAGTCTGAGGAATCACACTGTCTCGGCACTGGAAAATGTTTTTTTTTTTTATTACTTGTTTTCTTATCCCTGATTGAGTCAAAGTGATTGTTTTAAGGCCCTTGATTACTTCTAATGTGCTTCAAACTTAACCGATTTCGAAGCCTGACACTACAGAGTCACAAGACTAGTCAAGCAAGAGAACAAGCAAAGCAAAGCTCAGGGTGGATCTCAAGGACACCACACAGTCTGAGCGCAAGCAAGCGGCCACAAGGCCAGTTCACATCCAGGGTTATAAGAACAAGGCAGTACACTGATTACAACCTAACAAGAGGAAACATGCAGGTATAAAGATATATATCAGTGTACAACAAGAGCAAGTCAAGCAACCAGCAGGTGAGGCGGAGTGGGCACAAGCCCAAAAGCAGTGCAGAAACGCTGATGATCACTAGACCCAACGGCCTTAGTGAAGACATCAGCAGTGTTGGCCCGAGAGGCCACGTAGGAAAGACGAAGCTAACCACGCTGCTGAAGCTCACGCGCAAGGAAGTAGCGAAGAGCAATGTACTTCGTTCTGTGCTCCAGTCTCTGCTCGCGATACAAGGCAAGCATTGCCTTGTTGTCGATGTACAGAACTGGAGGAGAACAAGGCCGCTCCCCCAAGTCGGTCAGCAGGTAGGTTAGCCAGTGTAGCTCCTGTGCAACCATGGCCCCAGCGTAGATCTCGGCCTCACAGCTGGAACCAAGCACAGAAGAAGAACGAGTGGACCTCCACGAGACAGAACCAGAGCCAAGACTGAAGGTGTAACCCTGTGACGAACGCTGAGTCGCCTGGTCGTCGGCCCAAGAAGCGTCGGAGTGTCCTGTGAGTACCACTGAACCCCGTCCTCGAAGCAAAAGCCCCATGCCCGATGTACTGCACAAGTAACGCAATACCCTCTTCGCAGCATCCCAGTGCACCTTCCGGTGTCTAACAGGAGCCACGTAGCGAGCCAAGAGGCTGAGAGGGTACGCGAGGTCAGGTCGTGTGCACGTTCTCAGGTACATGAGGCAATCCACAAGCTCTGGGTACGGACCACTCGGCTCTATGGACTCGTCCGAAGGTTGAGCTGAGAGTGAGTGGCCAATATACAGAGGAGTGGGCTGTGGCGAGGAGAACTAAAAGACGAAGCGATGAAGGACCTGGTGCACCGTGTGTGACTGAGTCAGGGTGATGGTGCGTCGTGCTCTGTCCCGGGTGATCTGCAAGCCAAGATAGCTCCGCAGCTCACCTAGGTCAGTGCAGGTGTGTCTCTCCTACAGCTCCGCCTTCACTAGGGCCAGCGCCTCCGTGTCAGTAGTAGCAAAAACCAAGTCGTCGACGTACACGAGAACGTAGAACGGTGGCAGGGTAGTGTCGGTGCGAGAAACAGTGACGGGTCAGCAGTCGAAGGAGCAAACCCAAGAGACGCAAGTGTCGTCCTCAGTCTGTCGTGCCAGTCGCGAGGTGCCTGACGCAGGCCGTACACTGGCCGCCGTAGGCTCTACTGGGTACCCTCAGGAAACGACCCAGTAAAGCCACGTGGACGGCACAGCCAGGTGGCCTCGTGAAGGATACCCTGCAAGAAAGCTTTCGAGAAGTCGAGAGAGTGCAGCTCGTAGTCACGTAGAGCTGAAACGTGTAGCAACACCCAAAGAGTGGTCATCTTCGCGGTGGGGGAGAAGGTCTGAAAGAAGTCGACTCCCTCACGCTGATTGAAGCCTCAAGCAACGTAACGTGCCTTGAAGGCAGGCGGAGAACTCGGCTGCCGCTTCACCCTGAAAATCCACATGCAACTGATAATGTTTGCCCAGGTGGGGGAACCTCGTCGACGTAGGTGCCTGTGGACTTCCACGAAGCTATTTCTGCGTCCATGGCTGTCTGCCACTAAGAGGAGTACTCACCCGAGATCGCCTCTCTGTAAGAGTGCGGGGTGGGGATGTCAAGTGCATCCGGGTCTCCCTCAGGGGCAAGCAGCATGGTAGCGAGATGAGGTGCAGTGGCAGCAAAGGCACTCCAGCTCCTCTTGTCTGTCCTCAAGAACGTCACAGCCAAGGGCAACCTCACCCCCGACGGACGGAGGTCAGGCAGGGTCAGGGTCGGAAACAAGATTCACAAGGTAGGCAAGACGGCGGACAGCAGCAAAGTCGACTAGTCAGTGACTAGGGCAAACGCAGCAGTAGGCTCAAAGTCAGGGTCAGTCACGACAGTCGCGAGGAGACGAGTGACAGAAGAACTGGCTGTACGAGCAAGGTCGGACGCATGGTCAGGAACGTGCGGAAGAGAGGATGCGGGAGGCTCAGGCAGGACAACATGCTGTGGAACAGAGGAAGGACGAAGTGCCATACCGTGAGTGCCTGGGACAGTCGAAGGACGAGGACGACGAACACGAGGAACATGAGCATGGACAGAAGCTTTAGTCCCAGGCTCTCGACGCTCAGGAGTGGAAGCACGAGTCTCAGGCTCTCGACGCTCTGTCAGGGACTCTGGCACAGCGGTGTAAGGAGCAAGAGAAGGCAGTGGGGAGTGAGGGAGTAACTGTGGCTGAGACAGGTCTGCTGGTGGGAATAGTACGGGCTGAGAAATACCAGCGACAGGGAACTCAGTAGGAGCTGGCGGAAGACCGAGAAGGTGGTGAAGCTCACTAGCAGGCCCAGCACCTCGAGAACCAGCAGCAACTCCAGCATCGCCAGCACCAGCAGCACCTCCAAGACTAGCAGCTCCAGCACCTCCAGCACTAGCAGCACCTCCAGCACGAGCAGCTCCAGCACCTCCAGCAGTACCTCCAATACCAGCAGCACCTCCAGCACTAGCAGCTCCAGCACCTCCAGTACCAGCAGCACCTCCAGCACTAGCAGCTCCAGCACCTCCAGCAGTACCTCTTGTACCTCCAGCACCAGCAGCACCTCCACTACTAGTAGCTCCAGCACCTCCAGCAACAGCAGCTCCAGCACCTCTAGCAGTACCTCCAGTACCTCCAGCACCAGCAGCACCTCTAGTACTAGCAGCTCCAGCACCTCCAGCACCAGCAGTACCTCCAGGACTAGCAGCTCCAGCACCTCCAGCACCAGCGGTACCTCCAGTGCCTCTAGTACCAGCAGCACCTCTAGTGCCTCTAGCACCAGCAGCACCTCCAGCACTAGCAGCTCCAGCATAAGCAGCTCATCTAGGAGTACCTCCAACACCAGCAAGACCGAGCCCGCCACCACTAGGATTGCTACGCCAAACGATCCACGTACGAACCTGCTGTGGCGAGAGCGTCTCAAGTAGATCAGGCTGCGGTGGCTGTCCAGCTCCAGGACCTCCAGCAGGGTCACCCACAGCTCCACCGTCACTAGGACTCGCAGCACCCCCAGAGTTAGCACCCCTAGAACCAGCACCCCCAATTGGAACACCCCCAGAACCCTCACCCTCTGTCTCAGCACCCCAGGCTTAGCACCAGCAGTCTCAGCTCCAGAATCCACAACAGTAGGCTGCTGAGGCGGCGAAGACGGCCGAGGTGGAAAGCCCGGGGGGGTCGCCAAGCGTGGAGAACAGCGAGGGGCCGCCGTGCGGCGAGGTCACCCCCCTCAGCTGGGCCAGGGGATTCAGAAGAGATCTCCAGAGGCTCATCCAAGGGGGGTGGGTCTACCTGAGACACACCTGAGGGAGTAGGACCCTGCGGGGGGAGTGGGTCTACCCGGGGGGGGGGGGGGACTGGTACGAGGAAGAGAGGCGCGAGTGGGACCGGGTAGGACGCATGCGGGTGTAGCCTGTAGTAACAGACAGACTCGTCAAAGGTGACGTCCTGGGAGGAGATGACTCGATGCGAGCACGGGTGGTAGAACTGCCATGGCGTGGCTTCGGTGGGGAAGCCAAGGAAGACGCAGCGGAGAGTGTGAGGGGAGAGCTTGCTCGCGGTGGTATCGCGAACAAGGGAGAGCGCGCCCCAGGCCCGAAACACCGACGCATCACCAACCTCTCCCGTCCAACGGAGTGTGGATGAGGTCTCTGGAAAGAGACACGGGGCCAGAGGTTGAGCTGATGCGTAGCGTATCGGACTGCAAACGGCCACAGAAAATGGGGAGCAGCCGCATGGATCATGGAGGTACGAGCAACCTCCATGATCAAGCCAAGACGACGCTCAGCAATCCCATTCTGCTGAGGAGAGGCCGGAAGCGTGAACGTCTGGCGGATGCCCTTG